CCCACAGATTTCACCAACACACTGTGCAGGAAGAGTAAAAATACATAGTTTTGATATTTATGTGCAGCTCTAATATGAATTTGTCTGTAGGCAATATTAGAGATTTTAAAAATGTATGGGTATCAGTGGACAATGGACATACTGACTCATATTGAGTATTTAATTGTTGTGCATGCTCGTTTTTTACATTTAGATCACCTTTGCCATCATCTAATGCTCACTTGAAATTAATCTTTAAAAACATCAACAATAATAACACTATTAAATGTAAATGCAAATCTCAAAATGAATATTAGTTTTTCAAACTGTGCCTTACAATGTTGTGATGCCTAAGTTCACTTGTAGCATTTAGATAAATTAATTTAGTTTTAGTGTTTATTTTGAATTTACTTCGATTTTTGGGGGGATTTTGAATATCGTCCATTTATTGTCTATGCAGTATTAACCATAACTTTCATCACTGCATACCTAATTCATACAAATGGCAAACTGACACTATTAAGATGAACAATATCCTGACAATATCCTCAACCATCCTTCTAACCTGCACTACAGTTAACATAAATACAAGTAGCTAATTCCTTGCACTCACATTGGGTGTAATCGTAGCATTGATGAAGCTTTCCATCCAAGTCGGTACATCCAGTTTTACTCCAACCACTGAAACATTCAACCAAAAGTAGTTTAGTTTTAATTTTTGCATCAATTCATAATCACACAAATCAAACAAAAATTAATTGACAAAACAGAAAATCAACTTTGATTACGTAAAGTTTGGTAGCTTTCTGAACTGGCAACTTCTGGTAAATGTTGATCATCTCAAAATACTGTTTGATTACTTGACCAGGCTGTTATATTGGTTTATCACTACATGCGTTCTTCTGTCTTTCGGTCCCAGTGATTATCTACAGTACTGTATATTCCCATGGTATCTAATAAAACTATAACGTCAGACTCTTACCTGCTGGCTTCAGCATGAATTCATCAACTCGCAGGTCCATCGCTCTGCTCACTAAAACTGAATCTTGAGTTTCTGATAAAGAGAGGACAGAAAATATCCATTAAATCCAAATGGAAAAATGGGACATTGTTGAATAATAATCACAAACACATACTTACCATTGTTTGCATTTGGTGCTGATGTAAATATATAAACATCGTTGTCCAGACTTCTCTTGTAGAAACTAGACTTGTATATTTCTGCCTGCTCAGTCCATTCTGAACCAGCACTGCAGAACACACACACACACACACACACACACACACACAGGTTTGTTTTTGTGAATTGTGGGGACATTCCATAGGCGTAATGGTTTTTATACTGTACAAACTGTATGTGCTATTGCCCTACACCAACCCTACACTTAACCCTTACAGGAAACTTTCTGCATTTTTACTTTATCAAAAAAACTCACTCTGTATGATTTATAAGCATTTTGAAAAATGGGGACATGGGGTAATGTACTCATAAGTCACCTTCTCCTTGTAATACCTATGTCATACCCATGTCATTATACAAATTTGTGTCCTCATATGTCACAAAAACGCACACACACACATATACACACACAAAGCACGATAATTTTAGTCCAAATCCCATAGGCTAAGCCTGCCTGGTATCTCCTCTCTAAAGCTTTAAAATATAATAGTACCTCGCAGGATAGACTCTAGTGACACCGCCATCTGTCGCCACAAACTTAGCCTTGATTCTCTCATTCCTGAAAACCACAAATGTAAATAAACCAAATTAGACAGAAAAAAAACTGCTCTTAAAATAGAAGAAAAAAAAAATAGAAGTTCACTGAAAAATTCTATCATAATTTATCATCTATGCTCCTTATGTGCTTTTCTTTCTTCTGTGGAACACAAAAGGAGATGCTTAGCAGATTGTGCATGCTGCTCTTTTCCATACAACAAAAGCATACAGTGGCCAAACTCCTATAAGGAAAATATAGCACCTTAAAAGACTATTTTTATGATGCTCTTTTGTCCATTTTGGAACTTGACAGCATATATGCTTTCATTGCATGGAAAAAAGCAGCATGAACGTAGTTCAAAACATCTCCTTTTGTATTCCACGTTCATACAGGTTTGGACCAACATGAGGAGAGTAAATGCCGACAGAAAATAAATTCACTTGGCCTTGTGCATTTTGAATTTATAATTCAGTGCAACTCACAGTCCCTGTTCGCTCCAGTATTTGGCCAGTTCAGCGGTGATGCCAGCGTCCAGCAGCAGTCTGTTTATTAGCTCCATATTACCTGAGGAACCATGCATAAAAAAATAGGCTTCTATCGACATCTCGCCATCCCTTTACCATCGCTTTGACATGACAAGTATCAAAATGACTCTCACACTACAGGAGCAAAATCTAATGGAAGATCAATAGGCACAGAACAAAGCTTTACGTCATTATAAGCTTCACCTTTGACTTGATAAATGCATAAACACCTGTTGGTCATGAGTAAGAACAGGCTTCACATTCTGACCTTTGAGGCAACCGATGCCAAAGTCATAAAGAAGTAGAACTTCATAAAAAGAGAGCGAGACAGCGACGCAAAAATGAGGCAGTGAGACATGTCGGGAAAGTAACACGCAGATTAATTTTCCGAGACGTGGAACACGATTGTATTCTTCGGCTGTAAGTGTTCAAAGGTTTTTTGGTTTTTTTTTGTTGGTGCAGGCATGTTCAGAACGTTAGAGTGTTTTATAACATCGCACTGCAGTTCATTACCACAAAGCCTTTACGACAAAACACACACACTTCACAAAGAGCAGCTGGTGTACGACTTTATTCCGCCCCCCTCTGCACGCTGCATGCTTTTCATTAGGACCTGATTCAGAGCAGCGCAAGAACACAATTCAACTGATCGGCCTGTGTTTGACAGCGAGGAAATCGTGGACTTAAAATACCAGGCCTCTGTGACAAATAGCCACAAAAATGAGTGTGCAATATTTAGCTGGTTACATAATTTTATTGTCTATGCTCATGAGGAAGTTTTATTCTTTGAGCGAAAAACAAAACAAAACAGACAACAACATAACTGAATGAGTCAAAATCATTGTCTGTTGGTTAATGTGAGTGAATTTTTGTTCTGTTGGATAACTGAAATAGAAAAACTTTTGGAAATTAAATTAAATGTAATATTTAAATTAAATGTGTTATTGGTATTGGCACATATTTGCTCTCTCTTTTTTTATTTTTTCCTGTGACATGTCCTGCTTTTCTTCTTTCACACGGGGTAATTGGTGCAGAATTAGGGGGTTGGGGTGGGTTCATAGGTATAAAGTATTACAGCCAAACCTACACATTCAACACATGTGCACCAAACCAAGTGATTACCGCAGCACCAACTGATCCTGATGAGATCAAAGCGGCCCGCGGAGAGGAAGGTGAGGGGAGGGGGGTGTCTGTGTGCGCGGGCAAAGGGAGGAGGTTTACTTAGCATTAACACGGTCAACAAGAGAACAATAAATATAATTCGATTCAAACTGAAATACACAAAACCCTTAATTTACTCAAGGAAAGGTGTATCAGGACTGCTTTTGATGGGGACGAGTTGTTTTTAAACACAGCAGAAGTAGTGTAATTGTGAACTCAAATGGATTGCAATTGATTAAAAAAAAAAGTAGTAAAATGTGAAATGAATAAGATTTAAAATACTGTATTAGAAATTATAAAAATGTCCTAAAATATGCAATTGCAATATTTAGTCATTATATTTATAAGACTATGATAAAAACTCTTTATCCACAAATTTGGAAAATGTATTAAAAATGTGTAATGTTGTTATTTAAATATGCACTGTATTAATTTTTAGACTACTATTTTAAAGTGCAGCAACTTTGAATCCTGATTAAATTAATCAAAATTAGTTTTATATTAGTATTTAGTTTTGCCATCTTTATCAGGGCTGTGATATTCATACTATGAGCGCGGGCAAAGGGAGGAGGTTTACTTAGCATTAACACGGTCAACAAGAGAACAATAAATATAATTCGATTCAAACTGAAATACACAAAACCCTTAATTTACTCAAGGAAAGGTGTATCAGGACTGCTTTTGATGGGGATGAGTTGTTTTTAAACACAGCAGAAGTAGTGTAATTGTGAACTCAAATGGATTGCAATTGATTAAAAAAAAAAAAGTAGTAAAATGTGAAATGAATAAGATTTAAAATACTGTATTAGAAATTATACAAATGTCCTAAAATATGCAATTGCAATATTTAGTCATTATATTTATAAGACTATGATCAAAACTCTTTATCCACAAATTTGGAAAATTTATTAAAAATGTGTAATGTTGTTATTTAAATATGCACTGTATTAATTTTTAGACTACTATTTTAAAGTGCAGCAACTTTGAATCCTGATTAAATTAATCAAAATTTGTTTTATATTAGTATTTAGTTTTGCCATCTTTATCAGGGCTGTGATATTCATACTATGGACTGATGACGTGTTTTTTTTTATGTATATTTCAGAATGTTAGTTAATACTGCTGTGTGAGTTGACATCTTTCTCTCTTCTTATCAATGTATCAATATCAATCTCTGCATTTTACTAAAAGAATATACTTTTTTTATTTTAAGCTAAAAGTAGCTATGTTTTAATCAAGATTATGTCCTTATAAACTGCTCACTCCCCCGTGAGCAGCCCTGGAAATGAACTCTGAACCTTTAAACTAGCAGAATGAATCCCTGACCTCAGCTCAGCTCTGGATTTGAACCAGCAGCCCAGAAAGCTCCAGAAGATACTCACACAGCGGGTTGTTGGGGGTCTTTCTGTCTATGTATTCATTGAAGTCGATGAGAAATTGTGTGATGTTGTTACTCTGAGCTTTCAGGTCTGTGCAGTAATCTCTAAACCATGGAAAAGGAACATTTCTCAGAATCATTTAGAAGAAATAAAGAAATAAAAGCTCAGAACAACACGAAGGTGAGTAAACGATCACAGTATTTTTGGGTGAACTATCACTTTAAGAAACTGACCTGGGTGCTATTAAAGTATATCCATACTCTTCAAATTTGTCCACCTGCAGGCTTTCAGAAACTGAAAGAAAATATCAGAAATCAGCCAGATCAAAGAGCATTTCAAATAAGTTCTGTCATTACGGAGCAGAAAATAATACAATACAGATATATACAGAATAAAAACAGACCCCAAAATTTACAGGTACATTCATAATGACCTGACAATGAAACACAACTCTACAGACAGTGGGCTGCTGCACAACAGCTTGTGAAAATATGTCTCTGAGCTTCTGTCTAGTAATGCGGTCATCTGCAGTGACACCCTGCTGTTTAGGCACACGACCTCACATACGGGTGGCCCAGAGCGAGAAAGTTCAAAATGATCTCGCACAGAGAAATGTATCTCAAAATATACATGAACAGTGATTTTAAAAGTAGTAGAATAAAATAAAATAATCAAAGTTGAGATGCAGAGCAAGAAATATTTCAGATTCTGCACTATAATTATATATTTTAAATATAATAATAGTTCATAAATAAATAAACGTCTCTTTCAAATTCATCATATTCTCCAACATACATTCTCCTACATTTATGCATGTGGGTATGTTTGTGAGTATGTTTGTTCTTTCTGAAACCAGATGACGGACTTTAACATGGGAGAGGTCAGACGTTACATCCAGGTTCGAACATGAAGGAAAAGACAAAAGGGAGAGAAAAACAGTACTTGCCAGTTTCTTCTGAAGGGTCAAATGCCGCAAAGAGGGAAAGGAGGGAGCGATTTACCGAGGAAAGGAGGGAAAGAGAGGCAGAGAAACAGGGTAAAACCACAGGGGTCAAAGGTCACCAATATTTTATTCACAGAACAAGCCTTGAATAAAAAATATTGCACTCTCATCTAAGGTTTTCTGCTGGTTGTAAATTGAAAGACAAGCAACGTTAAGGAATTATGCATTCACATGAGCCAAGAAAGATGACGGATGGAGAAGGGGGAAAAAAATTCTGGTAAATAATTATAAGTGACTTGAAAAGTGACTTTCTTTAAAATGAACATCACTTGGTTTTGATATTTTATTAATGCAATAACATTCTGACATTTTCAAATGTGGCCAAACTATCCAAATACATTTAGAGCCCACTGTATTTTCAACTGATTTACATTAAACTCAATCTCCGTGATGGTGTCAGGTTGAAAAAAGACAAAAAAAAGTGGTAAAACACGGTTTAAGGGGTGTAAAATATAGTTTAGCAGATGTGCTGTCACATGGACAAGCCAAGATCTGGTGGCAGACAAGTGATTAGCACAGATTGTTATTGCGGAACAGTAACGTTAGAAGCCTTGAAGTTACACTGTCCTGTTAAAGTTAAAAAGGGACACACACATACCACATCCGCACCTGGACATGAACACGTGGACCCAACACACATACAGAGCACATGCTTTCTAAAGAGCAAGGCCTGTATTTTGTTAAACCTCCCCTTTACGAGGTTTTGAAAGCATCCAGATGATTCAGAGAGCGAAGGGGCGGAGATAAAAGCACAAATAGTCACACTCATGTCCTCTGCGGTTTCACCTTCCAAACCTCCAGGAAAACATCCATTAAACATCTCCTGATGCTCTCAGACGTATACACACATTCAGAAAGACTCAGTCCCGGTGAGTAAATGTGACACTTCATGACACTCATACCGTTGACAAACACATTAAAGTTGCAAGGAGAGAACACATCTAAACTGTTTTACTCAGCCGGGAAACATTTACACATGCAAAGCAAACATAGAAGAGTCTGTGTTTATGCATTATTTTCTATGGTGGCTGCAATTCGGGTACTGTAAGTGTAGAGCAGGTGCTAGTAGCAGAGATAGGCCGATAAGGAAAAACCTAGTTTAAAACACATGTGCCAAGCTCTTAGAAATGTCTCTTTGTATTCATGTTGGTTTCATATGGTTTTGAAAAAACTATAGTATACCATTTTTTAATGGGTTCAAGTTCAAATTGAATGACTCCAAAAATGGCATGCGGTGTAACCCGTCAAGTAAAAAGTAAAAACATATTTTCCTTACACCCTTAATCTGGGAGTACACTTTATATCAGTATTTTAAATAAATATTTTTAGAATTAAACAAATATCAAGAATTGTTATTCATAAATATCATTACTTGAACTCACCTTACCATTTAAAAAAAACCAAAAACATAAAATTATCTGAGAGTTAACACTGTTACGAGGGTCTTCATCGGCCATTACATCATTTCCGATTTATGATTTCCAATTATGAGTCTGCACATGAATCATTACATGACTTTCATTTAGACAAACATTTTTTTTTATATTTATAATATTTAAACAAATTTGCTCCAATACTTTATTTCTAAGAAATAATAGTAGCAGTAAAAAACTATTCCAAACTATTTAATAAAGTTTTCCGTTCAAGAATTTATTTCGATATATTATATCAGGAAAATTGTATTAACTTGACATTTTTGACTTAATACCCCCATAAATATTTAAAAGTATTTTAACTCAGAAATGTAATTTAAAACAATTCTCATAGAATATGTGAATTCAAGTCACTGTTTGTGAGTTGCATTTGAATGTATTTTTGAATAAATTAATAGATCCTAAAATTAGTATTTATATTATTATAACATTTGAAAAAGTTACATAAACTGAAGTTCATACTGCCAATAAAATGGTTTAAAACAAGTTTTACTGACAATAAGCAGCTCAGAAAACTTGAATGACTATTCCATCTGAGCTAGGATATCGGCCGATCTCTAGTGAGTATCACTGGACACTACGAGAAGGAAATACAGAAGGAAAATACTTGCCGGAATTTTCGGAGAGTTTCCAAGCTATAGACAGACAGGGAACAGAGGAACGGGAGAGAGATGGAGAGAAAGAGAAAAAGCACAAATAGTCACACTCATGTCCTCTGCGGTTTCACCTTCCAAACCTCCAGGAAAACATCCATTAAACATCTCCTGATGCTCTCAGACGTATACACACATTCAGAAAGACTCAGTCCCGGTGAGTAAATGTGACACTTCATGACACTCATACCGTTGACAAACACATTAAAGTTGCAAGGAGAGAACACATCTAAACTGTTTTACTCAGCCGGGAAACATTTACACATGCAAAGCAAACATAGAAGAGTCTGTGTTTATGCATTATTTTCTATGGTGGCTGCAATTCGGGTACTGTAAGTGTAGAGCAGGTGCTAGTAGCAGAGATAGGCCGATAAGGAAAAACCTAGTTTAAAACACATGTGCCAAGCTCTTAGAAATGTCTCTTTGTATTCATGTTGGTTTCATATGGTTTTGAAAAAACTATAGTATACCATTTTTTAATGGGTTCAAGTTCAAATTGAATGACTCCAAAAATGGCATGCGGTGTAACCCGTCAAGTAAAAAGTAAAAACATATTTTCCTTACACCCTTAATCTGGGAGTACACTTTATATCAGTATTTTAAATAAATATTTTTAGAATTAAACAAATATCAAGAATTGTTATTCATAAATATCATTACTTGAACTCACCTTACCATTTAAAAAAAACCAAAAACATAAAATTATCTGAGAGTTAACACTGTTACGAGGGTCTTCATCGGCCATTACATCATTTCCGATTTATGATTTCCAATTATGAGTCTGCACATGAATCATTACATGACTTTCATTTAGACAAACATTTTTTTTTATATTTATAATATTTAAACAAATTTGCTCCAATACTTTATTTCTAAGAAATAATAGTAGCAGTAAAAAACTATTCCAAACTATTTAATAAAGTTTTCCGTTCAAGAATTTATTTCGATATATTATATCAGGAAAATTGTATTAACTTGACATTTTTGACTTAATACCCCCATAAATATTTAAAAGTATTTTAACTCAGAAATGTAATTTAAAACAATTCTCATAGAATATGTGAATTCAAGTCACTGTTTGTGAGTTGCATTTGAATGTATTTTTGAATAAATTAATAGATCCTAAAATTAGTATTTATATTATTATAACATTTGAAAAAGTTACATAAACTGAAGTTCATACTGCCAATAAAATGGTTTAAAACAAGTTTTACTGACAATAAGCAGCTCAGAAAACTTGAATGACTATTCCATCTGAGCTAGGATATCGGCCGATCTCTAGTGAGTATCACTGGACACTACGAGAAGGAAATACAGAAGGAAAATACTTGCCGGAATTTTCGGAGAGTTTCCAAGCTATAGACAGACAGGGAACAGAGGAACGGGAGAGAGATGGAGAGAAAGAGAAAGAGAGAGAGAGAGAGAGAGAGAGAGAGAGAGAGAATGAAAAGGGTTCGGGGAAGGCAAGATATAGGAAAGAACATGAGGGATTTCACAATATTTTATTCAACCCCAGAAGCTTTGAATAAGAATATTGTACAGGAACTGTGAGGGCTCTCCTGAGGGGAGGGGCATTTGAGATTCACTTTCCTCTCTCAAAAGCCACATGAGAGAGAACGAGAGGGTAAACATGGGCACAGAGGTGCATCTGGAAGAAAAACCTGGGCTAATATGCACAAGGTGAAACGCTTTTGCCGTTAAAGGAGTCGTCGCCCCGTCTGGCGCACGCTCATGGAGACAAACCACAACTGAGGAACCATGCTGTTACATCTCTGGAGGAGGTGAGGGTGTCAAAAAAGAGATGTGAAATGGACAGACGGTGTAGGGTTGAGCTGTAGGGGACTCTCTGGATAAAAACCAGGAGCTCATGCTACGGCTTCTGGCCTCTGAGCAAAACTGGCATTCCAATCTCTTTGATAAAGGTGCGAGAATGTGAGTTATGGTACTTACATTTGGCCTGAGTGATGGTGTCTAGTATAGTGGCCTTGATGTAGCTGACACTGTAATCAGGTAGAACTAAAGCAAGACTAGACAGAAGACACAAGAAATAAATGAGGATGAAGAGCAGTAGACTTCCTGACATTATAAAAATTGAGAAATGAACATCCTGTGAAATTAAAATTGGGAGTTTTGTAGCTTTTTGTCCATGTAGGTTGCAATTTACAGATTCCAACTCAAATGTAAGAGATTTCAAACTTTCAAACTTAACATTACTCTATTTTGATAATCTGTCCTTATAGAAGAAGTATAATGTCACATTTCTGTTGAACACTCTTCAATGTTACTTTGAACAGTGCCCCCTAGCGGCAATGTTAAAATAAACATTCATATGTTCACTTGTACGACAAACACACCTGCACAACATAAAAACACGTAACAAAAACAAAACAAGACGAGACAAAAACAAAGCAAATAAAAAAAATAAAATAAAAAAACAAGACAAAAGCAAAGAAAAACATAAAACAAAACAAAACAAAAAAGACAACAA